GCAGTAGCAGTAGTAGTAGTAGTAGTAGTAGTAGTCGTCGTGGTAGTAGTAGTAGCAGTAGTAGTAGTAGTAGTAGTAGTAGTAGTAGTAGTAATAGTCGTAGTGGTAGTGGTGGTGGTGGTAGTAGTAGTAGTCGTAGTAGTAGTAGTAGTAGTAGTAGTAGTAGCAGTACTAGTACCAGTACCAGTACCAGTACCAGTACCAGTACTAGTACTAGTACTACTACTAGTAGTAGCAGCAGTGGTAACAGTAGTAGTAGCACGAGTAGCAGTACGAGTGGTGGTAATGGTACTCGTAGTCAATTGTAGTAGTACTAGTAGTACTGCACAGAAGAAAATCCTGCTTGCTATTGGGTTCCTGCATGGGTATAGTTACATAATCGTCTCGGTTGCATAGCCCGTGAAATGTCAGTTATGTCCGGGTTGTTTTCCCGGTGTTCACTTCCATGATCGTGTCGGTCGCTTCCGTTATTTGAGGCTCCATCACCGTGTTCTTTGCCGTTGGTGTATCGCTGGTTTTTTGCTTCATTTCCGACTTCACTCCGTTTTCGTTTCCTTAGTTCCAGATTCGTTTCGATTGCATGATGCCTGCGCATCGATCATTTCCGCCTTCATTTCCGCCATGTCTGCCTTCGCTGCATTAGCTCTGCCTTCCTTTCCGCTGTCATGTCATGTCGATATTCCCGTTTTTGGCCGAAAATTAAACCATGGTCGTTTGTGGTAGGGACTCCTGTCTCAGAGACTGGAACTCATCGGTATTGCTCACGGGAGCAAACACTAGTTTTTTGCTGCTTCTAATACCACTACAACTACCACCACTACTACTTAGCTCTAGTACGCGTCTGCCTCCTCCTCCTACTCCTCCTACTATTATAGCTCCTGCTTCTACATTACATTCCGATCTATCTCTACTTCTTTGAGCAGCTGGTTTTGGAGTGGTCCGCGACTTCCTCTAGGCCTCCGACGATGAGACTGAAGAAGCGGAAGATGCGGATTGTACTTCCGTCGTGGATGGGTCTGCGGAGGCACTGCCTGTAGGCTGGCTGTAGGGCCTGTAGAGGCCTTTCCTTTGGAACTTTAGTCATTTTTCTCCGACTGCCGAGTCACTGACAAGGCACAAGATGGGCAAGCGAACACTGCGTGTAGTCATGTGTAGTCACGATGGCTGCCCCGCAAGGTCGCGACGCCGCAGAATGACGCAGAGGATGCAACGTCGGATGAGGAATCGGAAGACGATGATGACGAGGACGCTGTGCTTATCCTTCGAACCCCATACCTATGGGGACTTGGTTAAACAAGAATTACTTGCAGCTAGCGTTTCAAGCAGCCAGCATTTGGAAGCGGCACCTTATATTGTGCAGCCCGGAAGATGGCACGCGACAGCTGACCGGCGCACGACCTCTCCCTCTCCCTCTCCCTCCCCCTCCCTCTCCCGCTCCCTCTCTCTGAGTCTCTCTCTCTCTCTCTCTCTTTCTCTCTTTGTCTGTTAGCTTCGGCCGTTCAAGCCGCGAAGGATTGTGTTGTTAAGACTCTGACCAGCTATTCTGCTGTAAAGCACGCCCGCACGCACGCACGCGCGCACGAACGCACGAACGAAAGAAGAGCGAACCAATGAAGCAACGAACCAACGCCCCAACAACCCCACACGCCAACGCCAACGCACGCACGCACCAACTATTACCAACGCACGCTTGCACAACGCACACACGCACCAACGCACGCATGCACGCACCAACGCACGCATGCACCAGCGCACGCCCACACCCATGCACGCACCCACGAACACACGCACGCACCAACGCACCAATGCACGCATAAACGCGCCATTTTATGCACGCACGGCACGGCACGGCACAGCACCACTTCCCACCTCACGGCACCGCACGGCACGCACACACGCACACGCACGCACACACACACACACACACACCCACGCACGCACGCACGCACGCACGCACGAACGCACGAACGCACCCAATGCACCGACGCACCAATGCACCATATATGCTGCCCCAAC